ACTTTAGACGCACGACGCGGAAATGTAGTAGAGCTAATTATCAAAATATATTTTTAGAATATACAAATTTATTAACAGAAGAATTAAGAATCCTTTAAGGTTCTCTATGGGGGTTTCAATTTAGTTCTGGGGCGTGGATGGAACGAAGTAAATTAGATTTAGTATTTGAAATACAAAAAGTTTATAATAGAAAGACACTTTCAAGTCAAAGTTATATATGTAAATAGTTACTATCTTCCAAAAAAAAAAAATAATAATAATATTGACAAAAAAATAACTAAATGATTTTGACATTAGGTATTTTGTCAACATATATAATACGTCTATTCTTTTATATTTTTTTGTTATTTTTTTTGCTATTGTTAATCTAATAATACAATAACAGATTGTTAATATTTCATATTAACAATCTGTTATTATATTATTAGATTAACAATATTAGATTAAAATGGGATTCAAACAATTTTGAAAAGAATGAATCAAATTTATATTATCAAAAAGTTTGATTCATTCTTTTCAACATCGTTTTAATCTATATTTAGATTAACATAACACATTTCATAATGAAAACGGAGTCTATTTTGTATGTTTGAAAATCTGCCTTTTTTATTTAAATCTAGGTTACCAATGGTTCGGAGACCGGACCTCTCCACCGGACGTCTCCCCCCCCCGTCGTCCGGATTTCCGAACGACGCCTTTTTGGCAAAAAAAATAAATAAAATAAAATTAAAAAAATGACAGTGTTGCGCATGGCCTAGAGACCCCCAATAAAAAATTTTAGAGTTTTTTGAGCATTTACTGATAGGGTGGTGAGGGGGGCGTAGAAGGGGGTTTGGTGGGGATAGGAGGGGTATAGATGGGGAATGAATCTTTATAGATTTTTATAATTTATTCTACTGACCGAAATTATCCAAAAATTTGCTGGCATACACCTAATGCAAGGTGGAAGCCACATGATTGTTTTAAAAAAAAAAAAATGTTTTTTTTTTTTTTTTTTTTTTTTTGCGCTAGGTCAGACATACCTTGTCCGGTCCGACGTCCGACTAGACATCCGCTCGAACATCCCGGACGGTCAGGGGGGTCTCGGACGTCCGGCCTGATAACCTATATTTAATTTAAATTACATAAGGTGTCATTGAGACTATTTTCAAATACCGTTTTTTCGTAGTTCATGTGTGACACAACCTACAATTCTTGTACCAATAGGCAAACCATTATTGATTAAACAATAACATTTCTATCAAATTGTAAATAACTGCCATCTTTTCGGTATTTGGTGTTTTTTTTTTTTTCCACTACAATAACTTTAAGCACATTCTGAGTTGCGACCCATTCGTGCTTGTTTTAAAGACACTATTATAGTATCACCTGTAATAGCTCTTTTTTTTCTGAAAGGATGCAAAATTTTGATACACTGTACGATTTTTGCACCTGAATTATCAGACACCTGTAAATATGTTCCAAGAGTAATCACACTCTTCGAGCCTTTTTTTTTTACTACTGTTTAATATTTGTTTTTGTGTTTTGCATTGATTGACTCTGAACAAATTACGACCATTGAACTCGGAGCTAGCTGGTTCTCCACGAAATGCGTTGAGGCGCAGCAATTAACTACACTATCCAGGGGTAAAGCACTGTTTCGGTGCGGGTTACGAAAGTGGTACCAAATCGAGGCAAACTCTGAATACTGGATACGAACTTTTGTTAACTAGTGAGACGGTAGGGGATAAGCTTTATCGTCAAAAGCGAAACAACCCGGATCACCAGATAAGGCTGCTAAATGGGCGGTAAGTTGGTAAAGGAGGTGGAAGTGCAAAGACAATCAGTAGGTTTGCCTAGAAGCAACCTTCCTTAAAAGAGTGCGTAATAACTCAATGATCAAGCGCTCTTGCGCCGAAGATGAACGGGACGAAGCGGTCTGCCGAATCTGTGGGATGTAAAAGAACATCGGTAGGGGAGCGTTCCACGTTAAGGAGAAACATCAGTGTAAAGATGTGTGGATAAGTAAGGAAAAGAAAGAAATAGAGCCTTCTTCAAGTTTTATTATGGATCAAATTGTCAAAAAGGATGATTTAAAAGGTTATCGTAAAATGATATCAAATAGGGATAATTCCAAAAAAGATTTAGAGTTTCCTATTTTTGGAATTAAGAAGCAATTAAAAAAAAAAAAAAAAAAAGTGCCTCAAAGGGACTTTAAAAGCAAAACTTCGCAAGAAACACGAAAACAGGTATTTTGCTCCTTTTAGGTATTTTTACATGTTTGAAGTCAATAAAATTCGAGATAATTTGATAAAAACGAAGGAGAATCAAATATCTCAAGGAGTTTCTTTACTGACTGTGTTATCAGAAAAATAAAAAAGATGGTTAACTTGTACACATAAATCTTTATATATTAGACATCTACAAAAACAACAATCGAGAAAAAAACGTGATATAGCTTATAAAAAAACTTCATTCAGATGGCTCAGAAATTTTATATATACAAGTAATGCACTATTATTCTTAAAATTAAGAAAACAAATCTTATTGGGGAAGTAAAAGAAACACAGACCAATTTGCACGAGAAAATGGAATTAATGAGATAACAGTAAAAGTTATGTATAGCATTGTATGCTGCCAAAGAAGTCATTGACTAAAATATGGCGATGATTAACCAGTTTGCGTGCTGCAGGAATAATAGTTGTATTCTGAATATCGTTTAACGGACCGCTCGCAATAGCCGTCGGGCCCGCGGGCCCGTCCGTGTGGACAAAAAAAAAAGGTGTTTATCATTGACCTTGCCGTTGTATCCCCGTTGAACTCGTTGAATGACCGTCGAACGGCCGTTGAACGGATTCAACGTCGTTGAATGTCCGTTGAATCCCCATTTAGAACGACATCGCCATTCCACGGGAAATCAAACAACGGGGGGCGCGCTTGCGGCTGCGGGCATGTTGCCGGGAACGCCGGGAGCGTTGGAGATCCCTCCATAAAAAATAATAAAAAAAGAAAAACACCCGCTCCGCGGCCTCCACCGTCCGCCCGGCCCGACCGCATGCACCGCCATTACCAAACCCGCCCACTCCGCCCAGCTAGCCTACCCCCTCACCGCCGAAGCAACCCCCGCGTCACTGAACCCCGGAACCACACCGCAAGCCCCCACCACTCTGCAGCCTCTACCCCAGCAAACATACCCCGCAACCCTTGACGTTCAGGGACCGACACCCCCACTGTCCCGAACTGCCCGAAAGCCCCCGCAACCCCAAGCCCCACCGCCCCTCCCCCGCAACCCCAAGTCCGCCACAACAAAAACCACCCAAACCAACCCCCCTCGCATTATATCTGTCTCTTATACACATCTAGATGTGTATAAGAGACAGGTTTGGCTGTTCCCGGCTCAAGATACATCAGGTAAAGTCCTACTTTGAGTGAGCCATGAACAGCCAGACGGAACGGCTGAGGTCTGGATGCACACCCATAACCATAAAGGGGGAGTGAGTGACAGACCATCAGATAGTACGCACGCGCTCTGAAGGAGATAGAGGGAGACGAAGACCGAAGCCAGAACGATGCACACGCGCGCGCGGATGCACCCGCCCACCCATACACACACACACACACACCAGAGAGAGAGAGAGAGAGAGAGAGAGAGAAGAGGCTCAAGCACTTATAAAAAGCCATACATGGGGAGACTGTGCGAGAGGAGACAGTGCGCGCGCACGAAGAAGATAGACGTAAAAGAAGATCGAGGCCAGCGCGATGACGGGCGCGCGCACGCACCGAGAATACTGAGACAAGTCCTTAAGCTTCTCGGGGCGCGTGCGCGCGCGTAGAAACAGCCATAAATGTGGAAATTGTGAGAGAGCAGACGCACCGCGCGCGCGTATACGGAGGATAGATTGCAAGATCTAGAGGGCGCAAAAGAGCTGCACTCAAGCGCCTGCATGCACAGACACAGAGACAGAGATGTAGGGGGGGGCGGGGGGAAGGGATCCAGCTCGCGCGCAGATAGGTGTACACGAATACGTAGACATGGGAGAGAGAGAACCATAAGCGGGGGGAGCGGACGCGGTGAGTGGATCGTACGGTGATAGATAGATACGAAGGTATCCTTGGGCAATGTACTATAATAAAAAGCCCATTACCTTCTTCCGCCGAATACAACGTACGGTCATTATAGCTGTATATAGACTGAAAGATACCCCAAATACAGCTATAATGACCGTACGTTGTATTCGGGGNACACACACACACACACACACACACACACACACACACACACACACACACACACACACACACACACACACACACACACACACACACTCTCACACACACTCTCACACACACTTACACACACACACACACACAGATGCCACCTCCCAAGGACCCGACCACTGTACACACGGTCGAACTGGCCGCAACATCGTCGTCAACTGGAGGCCCTTGAACCGTACTAACGAACCGCTACCTCCGGGGATATCTGCAGCGGGTGCATCCTCACGCTCCTCCTTAGACTGCTCTCCTACCTCCTCGCACCCCTGATGAGGCGTCTCTCTCTCTCTCCCGAGGTGTCTTGTGAATGCCTGCTTGATCTCCTCTGTGGAGTATCTGGCGACCGCTAGGGCACGCGCCGTATCATCTCTCTCTGCGTAACGAGGGCTGGGAGGATCCCCCAAAGATATCTCCATGAAATCCCGCATCCCCAACCCTGACGCCCTCCTCTCTCGTAATGGCGACGCCCCCAGTGCTCTCCTCGTGCCTGGGGTCAAACCCGCTAGTGAGGGACTCATCTCGTTATCGATGAAACGCTGGACGATCGGGTCTACGGGGTCGCCTCCCTCTCCTCTACCATGGGCGACGCCCCCCCCTACCACGCCCTCCTCTCCCCCAACCAACACAGCAACATCTGCCCTCACTACGTCCTCCTCCATCTCAACCTGCGCATCATCATCATCAACCATTGCCACGCCCTCCTCTCTCTCAACCTGCGTCCTCACCACGTCGTCCTCTCTCTCAACCTCCGACGGCAACACGCCCTCCACTCTCTCAACCTGCTAACCATCATGCACTCTCGCCATGGCCTCCTCTCTCTCGACCTGCGCACCATCATCTACCTCCACCATGCCCCCCACTGCTCTTGCTACCTCCTCCTCCATACCCCGAATACCCTCAACTCCACCCGCTCCGGCGGCTCCGTGCTCCTCCGCTCCTCTCTCCCTCTCCTCCACCGGTGGTGCCCCGCTATGAACACCCACCTCCCCTAAGTCCCCCGATGCATGCGGGTCCAAAACGAGCTGACGGGCTACGCTAAACAATGATCCATGCTCGCGCATGTGCAACGAGGATCCCAAGTCCTCCCTCCCAACCGGTGCAGGTGAGCGCTCGTCATGTCGAATGGGAGCGGTTGGAGCGGATGATGGGACAAAATGACGAGAAAGAGGCAACGACGACGAGGGTCCGGACTGCGTCGCGGGAGTACTCGTCTGCTCCCACGTGGTCGTGGGAGCAGGCGTCTGCTCCTGCGTGGTCGAGGGAACAGTCGTTCGCTCCCTCGCTGTCGTGGCAGGACGTGGCTCCTCGCTCGCAGTCATGGGAGCACGCGTCTCCTCCCGCAAGGTCATGTGAGGACGCGTATCCACTTGCGCGGTAGTTTGTGATCTCTCCTCCGTGACCCTGAAAGATCCCCAGAGCTCCTCACCCCCCATCATATCTATGTCTCTTTGCTCTGCCACCTCCCGCATGGTGTGCGTCCTCTCGTCACCCACTTCGCCCTCCTCATGCAACTCGTCAATCTCACGAGGGACGGGAAGCATGGGGTCGTCCACTGCTTTCGGCTCCCTGTCGTCCTCAGAGGCATCGTCCCTAGGGTATGGGCGGAAGATAGCCGCACGATCATCGAAAACAGACTCAACAGGGGGCGGGGCAAAGGACCCGATGGGATCGCGTGTAATGAGGGCAGCCTGCTCCTCGATCTCCCAAGCAAAAGTTGTTTGAATTTGTTTCTTACATAATATATATTTTTTGATAAGGTTTTTACTGTTTTCTTAAAAATTGACTTATATTAATTTATAGTTCTATAAACCAGTTTTCACATAGCTCGGTTCTTACAAAACTGCTGAAAACGACTTATAGTTCTATAAATGAGTATTCACTAAAACTGTTTTTTTAAACATCTTTAGAGTTCGTCTTGCAGTCCTCAAACATTGTCTTGTTTGAGCTATGTTTTTTGTGAATCTAATGAGAACGACTTGTAGTCTTATAACATGGACTTTGCTGAAAATGATTTTCTTATACATTTAGCGAATTACTAGACGTTTTGACCGTTTTATGTTTTTTTTTTCTTGAGAAACAGTTAAAAACGTTCTCTTTTATGTGTCAAAAATAAATGTTTGACTTTAATTTTTTCATTCTATAAAAAATGTTAGGTTTTGTGGTGATGATAGGTTTTCACGAATTCAGTGTTAGGATTCAATACATCCCCACCACAAATGAACTGCAAATTCCGTTTTTTTCTTACATCTTGCACACTTGGTCTGTATCGGTATGTTCTTTTAACCACTTTGTTATGGGAACAACCTTGTGTGATTGAAGCCATGTGAGGCTGGTCATTTTCACTGATGGAATTCTCCGATTAACTTCCCACAACCGATTAAGATATGAAGAGATGACTTCTTGTCTCTCCCAACCTGCCATCATTTTTTCTAAACTCCACTTGTCCTTAACCAACAGAGGAGTGACTTAATTTTCAATTTGCAAGTTGTACCCAATCTTGGGAACATAATCTAGGAGTTTTGAGTCCCCTTGCCACCCATATGGGAACCAACCCCAATGGCAAGGGAGAGCCCTGAGTTTGCCTACTGGAGAGGTACCTAGGGGGCATACCAATCTTTGTTGCTTCCTACTTAGCTCTCGTACTCTTACTACCACTTGTTTGTATCCTCCCCGACTCTCAACGGAATAGGCTTCTCCTCCTGTGAGATCACCAGCTGTCTGTCATGCTGTTTCTTGATGAGGCCTCTCACAGCCCTTACTGTATTCTCGTGTGTCACGCTTGTTATTTTCCATATAGATTGGGTGTGCCCCTCCATGCCATCCATCACCCAGAGCCCCTTATAAGACAGAAGGGGGTCTGAGAGAGCGTTTTTCCAATCTGAGGGGATGCTAACTATAATTTGTTCTAACCTTTCAGATACATGTGACGCTCAACCTCATGTCCAGTGCTGCTTCCCGATCAGAATGTTTTGGTTCACGGAAGGGCCTCGAGACGGCAGCGAAGATAGGGTGTGCCAAGGATTTTTTGAAAAATTGAGTGTGAGGAGGACATAGACATAACTGAAATCCCCTGTGTTGGTCCGGCCTTAGTAACAAGGAGGCCCGTCGCCGTGTGGGTTTAAGGGAGAAAAAGGCGTGCATGGGACTCTCGTCTATGAGAAATTCAATCCAAAAAGTATCGGTGAACTTCCCAGCGAGTTGTCGCTCTTCGTTTCGTGTGAAAGGGGGCGGGTACACACAAGGTATCCCGTTTATGGATGAGGTCTCGTCGACGCTCGTTACACAGCTCTGAGTCCGACGTGGAGGGCCTCAATCGAGTACCCCTCTCCTTACTATGCTCGTCCTCGCCACGTGTGCGGTAGTGAAAACCCTTGGTTTGGTAACGCTCAAAGCGGCGACGATCGCTGCACAGAGTGTTAGGCCAATGAGGCTCCACTGCCGTCCACGGGAGGACGACCAACTCATTAAATGACAACGACAATGAATAGGGCAGAAAGTGCGTATCGATGATAACAAAACCTGCACCGACGAATCGTGAATACCAAGTTTCAGGAGGAAAGTAGTAATGCCCTCCGATCTAAGCGATCTTGGGGACGACTTCTCGTACGTCCCACTCGCATACATGTATCCTTTCCTTGTTGTACTGGAAGGGGTACGGCGGGGGTACGAGAAGTTGGCCCCCGGTCGAGTTGGGTCCGTCAGTCCATATGGCAACAAGCAAAAATCCTTTATAATCATACATCATCCGTTCGACACTTTAAGTAGTCAGATCATGCATTCGATCTTACAACCAACTCTCTATTACGACCCACTGCATGCACACATCAAAGTAAGAGAAACATGCACATCAAAGTTGTTGTAATCCATCCATTATAACAGAACATAACAGAAGGAGACAGTGAGCGATAATAAACGTAGATCAGAGGGGAGGAAACAGTAGAGAGCAATCACAGAATGGCCGACGATCTTGTCAAGGGAAATTACGGCTTAGAAGCCGAGTGATTATAACTCATTCTTGAAGGACAAAAAAAGAGAGGCGCTTCCGCCATGAGATTCCACCATGGACTCAGACCATGCATTCACTCAACTCTCGATTCGAACCTCTCATAAGCACTGACGATCCCAACCGTCACGTGCTAATCAACGACCATTTCGTCAAAATGGACATTTTTTATTTTTTGAACAAAATTGAAACCGAGTTTTTTTACTGAAAACTCGTTCAAATTTGTTGTTCCTGAGGGTCCAGCGTTTTACAAACATTGGACCCCCTGGCTGTACATGGACCTAGCTTCAGACCAGGTACCTCCAGACAGGACTGCCTGGAGGTACCTGGTCTGAAGCTAGGTCCATGTACAGCCAGGGGGTCCAACGCTGGACCCTCGGGAACAACAAATTTTGACGAGTTTTCGGCGAAATAACTTGGTTTCAATTTCGTTAAAAAAATAAAAGATGTCCATTTCGACGAAATGGCAGTTAATCCACCGTAGTGATCATCACTGCACAGTCTGGCCCGGATCCCACAATCCGGCGGACGATCCAGCGCACAGCCGACAAAACTAAAGTCAGCCCGTCAGGATTCTTCAACTCGCCTTTCACACACACCCTCTTGCCACTCCTTCCCGGAAGCTGGCAGATGAGTTGAGAGAGAGCTTTTCGAGAGCGCTTGCGGAATTTATAGCTGCGGAATATGAGATAGACGCTAGGAAGGGTTAGGACTGAGGTAGGGAGGGGTAGGGGGAAGTTCGGTGATAATCGCCCGTCGAAAGCCATGTCGATCCTTCAGCGCCTTGTTGTGGCCAATCAGAATCGTTGTGTATCAAGAATTTCCTTCTTACACGGCGCGTCACCTTGGCTAGAGGGAAGAAAGAAGGAGTCGACAGAGTATTTCAGCGCAAGGATTAGAGTGGGAAGAAGAAGAGCGCTAGGGATAGCACGGAACGGAACCAAGATTCAGACGATCAAGAAAGAGAAAAGGCGTGCGAGGCGAAGGAGAGATGGCAAATGGTTACAGAAAAAGAAGGAGTGTGAGCGTGAAGAAGACAGTGTTGAAGGTAGCGAGGGAAGCAGGCAGGGGAGGTTCCCATGCATGCCGGCGGAAAGGCAAAAAGGGCACCGAAACAGTTTCAGCTAATTCAAAATTGACAAGTACCATATCCGCGCGTAGAACGAGCACGGGGAAAAAACTCCTATACCTCTTCAGATTCCTACGAGAATTCCTGGAGTTTTCCAAGACCAAGTCTAGAACATTCATGCACAAGAAAGGACACGTTAGGTTTCGCTCATTCTGGAATTCCTAACCGTCGACCCAAATTCCTAGCGCACTCGCTAAGGCGCGCATAATTCCCATGCATTTCCCGAATTGCAAAAGATGAAATTCCCAAAACTGATTCAAGAAAGGTCCTGAGAAGGACGGGCCTTCCCGATTACGAACAATGTACATTAATTCATGGAAAGACGAAAAGGAGGCCCTGTCGGCCTGTTTGCAAGACACCAAAATTCGAAAAAGAGAGGGGGAGGGGGGGGGGAAGGGATTGGAAGATGGCGCAGGTCCGGAAGCCGGCGCGTCACATACATGCTTGAAATGTTTTAGCTTGGATCTCAGCTCTGCTGCCGTCCTCCAGCAAGTGGTATCTACGTTCCACAGTCACGTATCACATTTCCCAAGATGGGATGGAGGCCGACTTTTGTAAGTGCTGCCAGTGCCGTCCCACTAACCCTCCCGTCTCCTCCCCCTGCTCCCCACCCAGCCAATGCCGCCTAATCAGGACAGAGTGGTACGTGACTGTTGCAGTCTCGCGTACCACCACGAGGGAGTCCCTTCGTGTGCCTGATGGGACTCCCTTCTCTGATGGTTGCCATGCTGAAGCATGCAGTTCATATATTTTGAGAGAAAAACCAAGTACTGGAAAACCATGCCCTTCCACTACTTGATTTTTAAAAAATCTTTTGATGAGCTGCCAATCAAAATGAGTCTTTCTATTGTCTTTTCCCGCCTGCCATTCTTGGGAACTGGAAARAAAAAGCACAAAAAAAAAAAAAAAACACCACTTCAGAATATAAATCCCTCGCAATTTCGCTGCCATAGGATTCTCCTGCATCAGTGGTTGGATGATGTCCCGCAGATGTCCGACAGGTGTTTGTGGGACACAATTTACCTTACTCCTTTCGTAGTGGAACCGCGCCCGTGGTGCATCGGCCCACATGACATGAAATTAAATTTTCTCGGCTAGGGAGGGATCACAGGGGTAGGCTTGCCGACTCCATCCCTGGAGAAAAAAAAAAGAACAAAAAAGGGTCCAGTGTCAGTTACAGTTGGGTTGGCTGGGAGGACTCCAGGGGCCAAGTCCCACATACACTGTTGAGCCAGTTCAACATTGAACTAGCTCAACGTGTGTGACCCCACGCGACGTCTGAGATGCATTGGGAGCTGCACAATGCACATCCAGCCGTTGTTCGTAGGTGCATAAAATACAAAGACTTCTGCCCGAACACAACGCCCCCTACCCTGCCCATCTTCCGTTGAACTACATACCCCACATGGAGTGGGGTATGGGTTCAACCGTGCTTGCGCCATC